CTGAATAGATTACTCATTGGAACTACCAATCATTTCCAACCATTGCTAACACCTATAATCAAGGAGTAACTGAAATTTATTTTCTTTTCATTTAAGCAGTGTGCTTTTGGAACAGACAAGTTGCGTTCTCTGCCATTTACAAACTAGAGGATTTAATTTAGAATTCTATAATTGAATGAGATAGTACAATAACCTTTTATATAAACTCATCATTTCTTATCTTTCCCAAAGCACAAAATGTCCTGTATGCCATAATCACCATTGTTTACTTTTCTGGAAGGTTTTTGTTTAAATTTCTCTAACTGACCTGGGATTATGAATCTGCCTTCAAAATACAGTATGAACAGTTTGCTACTCCAGTCCTTATAAGAGTTCAAAGCTGTTATTGTGAAACTTGTAGGACAACTAATTTTGCTTCCTGTTATACTAGAAATCTGAGTACCTGTAATATCTCTTTCCAGGGAGTTCATACATATCACTCTCATTTGTCTCCTGCTTTTTTGAAAAATTGGAACTTTGGGTTTGGGTTTCAGAATTCATTTATCTCAAAGCATTTTTCTTTCTTTCTCTTTTTTCTTTTTCTTTTTTGGGGAGTTCGTGGGGGAGAATGCACTACCTGGCAGTATTCTTTGTTTTTGTGGACTGCGTTTGAGCATAAATTTATGAGCATAAATTCAGTGGTTGGAAAACATCACCGGTGATGTTCGCTGTTTATCATGTTTGCTGGTTATCTAATTTGATGTTTATCATGTTTTTCTGAAGAAGAGGAACATGCTGCTGTGGACTGGTGACTGTAGTCAGGGAAGCTGTACTCTGAATGGCTAAATGGAGACCATGTCAATAAGGGCTCCAAGGGTAAATTTGGGAGAGCAGGAGAGAATTGGGCATTGTGCCTCACTGGTCAGAATGGCACAGTCTCAGCTCTGGTGTTCTAGAGTCTAGGTCCAGGCACCTGTGGCCTCAGTGTCTTCTTAGAGGGGCCCACCCATTGCTGCCTACTGGACCCCTCTCACAAAGCTGGCCTCTAGCTCTCCTTCCCTCTCTTTCTCCCTGCTTCTGGTCCTACTCTTCTGCTTGTTTGCTTCTCTAAGCCATGTGTAGGAGTTTCATAGTCACAGTAGCTGAAGAAATCATCTAATTGGGTTAGTTGGATACTATTTAATGTAGAGTGCCATTACTGGTCAGAGTTTGGGGGCATTCATCTCACAGCCTACTCCATTTCTCCATGGAAGTGTTACTCGCTTTATTTCTTGCCACAGTTCTTCATTGTGCAAATCTGTCCCACACGCTGCAAGATATTCACATCCCTGGTCTTGACACTAAATGCCAGTGCACCCACCGGCTCTCTTTAAGTATCATGTGAGTAAAAAATATTCTCTTTCCCACATTCAGAATGGGTTCTTGACATGGGCGACCCCGAGAGTCTCACGGACTTTTTTCTCTCAAAGCAGAAACAAAGAGAAAGATTTTACATCACAACTGTAATTAGAATTTAGCTTAAATAATTTTTTAAAAAATCCTTTCTAACCTGAAAGCATACTTGGGAACATATAACTGAGGAGAGCTCTAACTTTTCTCCACCACCTGGAGAGCGGAAAATAAATCAGATCTCCTTTGATTTGTAATTCTATGTTAATGGCATAGCTGGGTTTTAGTTTTTCTTCAAGCTGTTATAAAATAAACTCTGGGTTTCTGAATTGTATTGAGTCCACCGAATTATTTGGAATGCTCATTTTTCCTTATGCCATTTATCTATAGCAACCACTAAAACACAAGATTTGAAAGATAGTACTTCAAGGGGCGCCTGGGTGGCGCAGTCGGTTAAGCGTCCGACTTCAGCCAGGTCACGATCTCGCGGTCCATGAGTTCGAGCCCCGCGTCGGGCTCTGGGCTGATGGCTCAGAGCCTGGAGCCTGTTTCCCATTCTGTGTCTCCCTCTCTCTCTGCCCCTCCCCTGTTCATGCTCTGTCTCTCTCTGTCCCAAAAATAAATTTAAAAAAAAACGTTGGAAAAAAAAAATTAAAAAAAAAAAAAAAAAGAAAGATAGTACTTCAAGAACGGAGTATTTAAACCTCTATCTTTTTTATTTCTACCCTTAATTTTGGGCTTCACATAGGCATTAGCTTGAACAGGTCACTTTTTTTTTTCTCTTTTTTTATTTATTATTTTTGAGAGAGAGAGAGAGAGAGAGAGCACATGAGTGGGGAAGGGGTAGGGGTGGGGAATTGAGGATCCAAAGTAGGCTCTGTGCTGACAGCAGAGAGCCCAATGTGGGACTCAAACTCACAAACCAAGATTATGACCTGGGCCAAAGCCGGACACCCAACCGACTGAACCACCCAGGCGCCCCCAGGTCACTTCTTTATAATTGATAGTCCACAACTTCTAAAAATTACTTGACTTACTTTTAAAAACAGAAACACTAGAAAGCTAGGCTAAGATCCTTTAACTATATTAAAATTAACCTAAAGAATACCAGAAAAAGCCTTGAGCATCCAAAGTTTAGATCCACGAAGGAAGCAATTCTAGAATGATGAGTGCAGCTGAAAGGCAGGAAGGTATTAAATGTCTCAAGCTCCTTCTAAGTAAAATTAATGATGCTGTCACTTTTAATTCATGCAGGAATGGCACCACCTCTCCAGAGGCATTTGGAAACATAGATGTTGTTAGTTGTCGCAAGGCTGGGTGAGTGGAGTGCTTTGGTGTTTGAGCGCCAGGGGTACTAAATCTTGTGCAATACGCAGAATGATCCTGCAAAACAAAGAACTGTCCTGCCTGAAAGCCAGTAGTGCCCACAATAAGAAACGCTATTATACATCTAATAGACATAAACCCAAGTCCCACTGCTTGGGGAAAAGAGCAAGTTAGTCTTCCTGATGTCAAAATTTAGCACCTTGTCATTGTACATGAAACCCAGAGATAATGTTTACTTTTCTTCTGCACTTCTCCCTGGTGCATATAATTTTCCCTCATCTATGAAGGGGTTATCAATCCAGGGTCAACTATTTATACTGAAATGCTTTGCAAACAGGGTTAAAGAAAACTTTAGCGCCACTACTAACATATTCCTTTTTTTTTTAATTTTTTTAATGTTTATTTATTATTGAGAGACAGAGAGAGACAGAGCATGAGAGGGGCAGAGCGAGGAGGAGACACAGAATCCGAAGCAGGCTCCGAGCTGTCAGCACAGAGCTCAACCTGGGACTCGAACTCACAAACTGCGAGATCACAACCTGAGCCGAAGCCGGATGCTCAACCCACTGAGCCACCCAGGCGCCCCTCACATATTCCTTTTTAATTCCTGATATCTCCCTCAGTCACCAATCCTTTAACTGTACTAAATGATGCTTATGCTTCTTTGAAATTTCTTTTTCCTGCTCCTTTCACTCTGCTTCCATGTAGTCTCTGCACTTACCTGCTGGACATCTGGATGAGAGAAATAGCCTCTCAAATAGCCCATTCTTGGGCTAGTTCCTCTCCTGTCTGGTCCTCCTCCCTTTCCAGCTGCTGCTGGCTGTTCCTTAAACATCATGTCCCATATTACTTTTTACTCAAAAATCTTCAATGAGCTTCTACTTCCTATCACATCACCCCTTCTTCATCATATCAGAACTTACCAAAGGCATTGGCAGGGGTTTTTTTTTACAGTCGTATTTTCATTTTCATCTTTTCAACTTGCATTTTTCAATGTGCCTGACGTAAAATAGATGCTGAGTATATATGTAATTACTATATGGTGGAAATTTGGCTCTTAATTTTCAAGACTTATGTCCAAACATTTCTTAAAGCTGTTTTGCTTTTCACTTCAGTCCAAGCCCTTCATAATTTCACTCTCCTTTGTATTCTTACAATATTACTACAAATCATAGAACATTTATTCCTATTTCTCATCATTTGTTACTGTTGCAGAACTTTCTGCTCAATTAATTAGCTCATAAACTACATGCTACTAAGCAAATGGTAGCAACACTCTGAGAAGTCCACAATTAATTTTTTTATTGCTTTCTGAAAACAATCTGCAGTTTGTCTTCACCAAATTACATCATGATGTATAATGGGTATTTGGGGCTTACAAATCCTTTAAAAATGTACTCGGAGCTCATAGTATAACCCAATCCTTAATACAAATAATATAAGTCCTGTCATATGACTGTAGGAAAAGCCTGTGAAGTTAATGGAGGTCTCCCATTACAGGCCATGAGTCTTGCAACAGACCGTTCAGCTAAGATATACAAAAATGAAAAGGAAACAGACCTAGATAGATGGTGTATCAAATTCTATTAACTTGTATGGAATGAATTCCTCACTTCTGAATTTCTCTTTGCATTCAGATGGTCCTTGAACACTCATTCACTCTTAGTTTATAAGCCAAGTACTTGATTAAAGACTGCTTCTAAATCTTTAGAAGTTCAAATGGTCTATAAGCCACAACTTCCTTATATTTATATGCATGGATATGATATGAAAATATTCTTGAATTATGATGTTTTCACCAACCAGCTTTACTCTTTAATTCAGTATCCAAAGGAACTTTGCCTGTGAATCCTAAGCATTCTTCAGAAACAGTAACAGTTCTAAGAGCAATCAAGGATTTAAAAATATTTTCATACTTTATTTCTTTCATTTCTTCTTACCTTTCTTAAATAAAGAGGGAAAGCATTCATAATCTCCGTTCAGTTACATAGAATTGGAATACTTCTATGTAACAGAACTCATCACACTAATGCACAGGATTGAAAGTCAAGCAACTTTGGTCTAGGCTGAATTGAATTAAGTCTTGACCTTGTAAACATTTCCACAGGAGGTAGAACACACACACTTGACTTTTTGTCAAATAAGGGATAGTAAACAATGATTCTGAGACCCTAATAAATTAAAGGTATTTTAAAGGTATTAAATAATTTTTTCTTTTTATAGACCAAAGATGAAGCAGCACACAGATTTTCAATAAATTAGGAAGCAAAATATTAAATCTTCATAGCTGAAATGTTTGCATCTTCAAAGCTCCAGTGGTTCAATTTGATAATGTTTGAAACTATAATTAATAACAAGATCACATTTTAAACAATTTGTGTGCAAGGCAAAGTCTGCAAGTATCTCCATTCATTATGGAGTTGTCCATAGTTTTGTACCAGTGACTTGAAAACAATGTCCTGCCACTGTATATTCCATTTTCTTTACCCTGATGGCAATCTGAATGAACAATATTTGAGCAGTAGAGATTCTTAGTTTCAATCCTCACTCAACATTGTTGGTTTAAGTGCCTCCAGCTGCTGTTCCCATGAACACAGTGTTGATGGGTGGTAAAGAGGACACCATTTCTCTACCATTTGCTCCATGGGAATCCAAGGTCTCTTGAGCTGGATACTGATTGGAAGCTCCATACATACATTGGGATGTGGAGGAAGGAATTGGGGTTTGCAAGCTGGTTGCTGTAAGGGAAAATGTAATCAGCAATTGAATATTGACTGACATTTTTTTCCTTTCCAAGTGCCACTCATTTTAAGCCTCCTGTATTTATTTTTGCATTTATCACCCATATCTATGATATTTTCCTAGAAATTGTTTTGACTTCTACACATTTCACAAAGAAAACTCCATTTCAAACTTAAATTCAGACAACTTTATCACCAAAATATATCCCCAGTCTACTTCCTCTTTCCATCCACACTTCCTCAATTATTCAAACCCCCGTGTTCTCTTATCTGGACCCACACAGCCGCCTCCTAACTAGTCTTAGGACTGTCACCTTTGCCCCACCCTCTCATTCTGCAGGGAACAGCCAGGATAATGCTGCTGATGTATACATCAAATTGTTGCTGTTCTCAAACTCTACAAAGACTTTCCCCCACCCTTAGAATAGAACCCAAGCTCTTTGCCCTGGTTCGCAACGTCTTCTGTGAACTGGTCTCTGCCTTCTGATTGATGTTACTCTACTGTCTTCATTCACCATGCTCAAAGCACATTGGCCTTTCTTGCTGCCCACTCAGTTTTCCTTGTTCCCACTTCAGAGACTGTGCACTTGTCATCTCTTCTGCCACCACTCCACCATCAGACCTTCAAGTCATCGCCTCCTAATCACTCAACTTTCAACTCTAATATCTCTGCCTCAGGATTCCTTTCCCAACCATCTTACCAAAAGCAGTTTCTCCATAACCATGTGTCATTTTACCCTATTTAACTGACTTCAGAGTACCTGACACTATCTTTTTTTTTTCTGCATTTGTCTATATAATCATCCCTCAATCTCTCCTGCCTAGAAGGTAAACTTCTTATAGGCAAGAACTCTGTCTGATCACCACCATAACCTCAAACTTAGAATGAAGTTTGGTACACAGTAGTTGGTTCTCAAAAATTTGACCACCTGGCTCTCTGACACTACATTTCCTTCATGTATGGTTGCTGGCTTCTCATTGTTGTTTTTCTCATTTTTCTAACTACCATCTTCTCTGTCCCTGGAAACTAGGTTTTCTAACTAAGGAAACATAGAGTGGGTCCTAAGTTCCCTCGCGCTACTTACCCACTTACTCTGTTCCCTTTTTTCATTCAGAAGCCCTCTTTGCTATTTACTTGTAAGCCAGCTCTGACAACTAAAGCTTAGAATCCATCCTACACCCAAGCTATGTTCCATCAAAGCTTCCACTATCTCTACGAGTAAACAGAACTAATAGTAACAATAGCAACACAGTACATTTTAGTCTCACGGTGAGGAAACTTCCTGAAGTGGAATTTTCTGCTTCATTAGAGTAACCTAGAAGCAATGACCATCTGCAGATAGCATGAGATGAGCTGCTAGACTCTGCTCAGGGAGCATCTGTGATGGTCACAGGGAGGGAAGAAGTGCTTCCTATTGAGTTATTGGAAAAGCACACTGAGAGAGGAGAGATGGAATTTATCTTATTTTCCCTTATGCTCCAGCTGGGTGTCAATGGCTTTTACTCCAGCTAGCTTGAAATCTATTCCATTGGAATATTTCAACCATCTCATATAAACATTAACACTCTGCCTTGATACTTACATGCATATATACTTGCCCTGTGATCCCTTATTAGCCATATTGGAGATTAAATCTTTACATATATTTTTGCCCCCTTTTTCAACTCACTGATGTATGGAGTTCCTACCATGTGACAGACACTTTGCTGGGTGCTGTTGATGTACAAATTGTACAAGTACAAGTTGCAGGATTTTCCCAGGGACAGCAACCTGGTTGGAAAAAGATGCTGGGGACTTTATGGCAAACACACCGTTTTGTTCATTTTTACTTAAACTACATGTAGCAGAGCAATAAAAATAGCAGCATTTTCTACAGAGCTGTCTAATCACATTTTACATACAATTGAGAAAATGCCAGCAAACTCTATCACAAATCACCCTTTTTTAAAACTTGGAGTGGTTTTAGGGTACTAGTGGAGATTATGGGGTCCAAAGATACCTCTTGGCACTGTCCCTGGGTCCAACTGTGAACAGGAGAGAGTGAGAAAAAGACATCATTACTGCCCTCGTAAAACTTAAAGTCTTTTAGGGGCACCTGGGTGGCTCAGTCGGTTAAGCGTCCAACTTCGGCTCAGGTCACGATCTCACTGTCCGTGAGTTCAAGCCCCGCGTCGGGCTCTGTGCTGACTGCTCAGAGCCAGGACCTGTTTCAGATTCTGTGTCTCCCTCTCTCTCTGACCCTCCCCCGTTCATGCTCTGTCTCTCTCTGTCTCAAAAATAAATAAACGTTAAAAAAAAAAACAAAAAAACTTAAAGTCTTTTAGACTGCATTTGACAGATTATATTCATGTTTTGCATACATAGTAGGTGCCAGCTATTTTTTTGAAAGAATAAGAGATTTAGCAGTGGGTTGCAGAGTGACCAACAGACTGAAAAAGGGGAGACTGTTACCAACAGACACAAAAATATGACTTTCGATCCAAAGTGATGAATCACTTGTAGGAATATGACCTCCAGGTTTACCTCAATAGTCACCCTCCAAAGTAAGACTACCTACCTGAGGTCAGCAGCCTTTTAAAATGTTTTCAAGAACTACTAAAATAATTTACCTACTACTGGAGTTCGACACGCAACTGATGGTGATGTGTCTGCGTAAAATGAGCTGGTCTGCTTTCTACTATTGTCATCTAAAATGTTAAGTGGATCGTGGATGTCACTGTAGGGAGGCAGTGAGCGAACACTGCTGATGACAGAAACATGTTGGTTCACCATCGATCCGAGTCTGTGAGACTCTGGGTAGTTTATGTTGCTTCCATAGTATCCTACAACAGAAAAAGTCAGGAATGTATTGTTAACGTACTACAAAGAATATTCCAGGAATGAAAAAAAGGACAAGATAATAGGGAGGGGCCTAAAGATGCCATATTATAAATATTACATTCACATCCATCTTTACTATAGAGTTGGATTTGTGCTTGTATAAGGATACGCTTCACTCTGCTGGGGTTTTTTGTTTTTAAAAAAATACAAAGGAGTTATCCTATTATTAATTTTCAGATGTAAGACTACATCTCTCTCATATTTTCCTCATCTAAATTAACAAGATCTTCCTATAAAGAAAAAAAGCACTACTAACTTCTCACAAAGATTACACTACTTGTCAAATACCAATTTTATCTACAGATTTATGTTACTGGGAGAAGGACTGGTCTACATCTAGAAGGGAGGACACAGAACCCACATTGGTGGCTGAAGAAAGAAGTCCACAGACCTTTCCAACTCCCTAAACTTTAAGTGTTTTATCAGACTAATAGGGGGCACAGTTTCTGTCCTAATCTGTATGATCTGCTGCTAGTTCTCTGGAAGAAACATTATTTACTACAAATAAAATGGACAGAACATTCTTCTTTTGGGCTTATTAAGGGAGATCTCAAACATACAGTTTGACATAGTATTTTTTTCATCATTTGTGGCATTTAAAAGGGCAACTTAAAAAAAAAAAACACAAGAATTGTATCTGGAAGAAATTAGCTCCAAGTGTCTAAGATTCCATGATCTTTGGAAACTTTACGTGGGATGGCATACTACTCAGAGAGGTGGAGCTCAATTCAATGTCTGATTTTGTCTTACTGCCATCTCAAAAGCCAGGAAAAATTCTTTAAAAATTTCAATACCATTCGGTGAATTAGGAGGCAATGTTGCTCCTTGGCAGCTGGCAGCGCCCGCATTGCTCAGGAAATTGAAGCTTCCTGTATTTAAAAACTGCATACTGTGTGAATCTTGGCTGTGTGAGGATGGTCCGTAGCTGGAAGGTGGTCGAGAATTATATGGAGACCCAGCACAGCTGCCACTGAAGAAGTCTCTAGAAAGCTGCTGTTCACTCCAGGCCATGCATCGACCATGCTCTGGGCGATGAGGATAGACTCCTGATGGGGGGTGAGGCTGTGCCCTAAACACAGTCTGATAGTTAGAGTTGGTCCCATAAAAGTCATGGCTGGTTTGAGGATGAGTTGGATAAATGGGCTCTGGGAATGTTGAGCAGTGGGGTGGAGCTGACAAGACTGGGCCCACACTTTGAGGTCTTCCTGCCATTGGTCCCTGGTTAATGACGCTTCCTCGGCTCGCCATGGCTGGAGAAATGGGTGGTGTCATCAGATGACCAGTGTTCTGGGAAAGGTCCATTTGACCTGGAAAAAATTACCAGAGCCTTCACAAGTGGCATATAAAAATAGATGGATGCATATCTTTAAAAATTATTCAAAAGATTTATCAATATGCTTTTTTTAAAAAATGGTTCATTCTTACTCTCTAAAAATTACAGAACTGGGGAACATTAAAAACCTAGGTTTAAAAGATACCATCACAAAAAAATAAACAAACAAATAAATAAAAGACACCATCACAATACATGTATATTTCACAATACTGAAGTGTTTTACACTTGATCATGGCCAAAAGGCTGAGAAGCAATAATAGTGAAGTGTTTTGAAGTTAGTCACTATGAACAAAAGTCTGCGATGGTTTCATGCTTCCATGGGTATGAAGATGGTTAGAGCTCAAGCTTGGGAAAGTCATGGGATCTGCTCTTCACAATTTCCCATAATTAAAAAAACAAACTGAATGTTAAATGGTTTGATTTTTAGGATAACAGAAAAAGGCAATAGTGTCAAAATGCCCATGGCTTCAAAGCAAGCCAATTCAAAACATCATGCAAACACCCCTGATCAACAACGAGTTATGAATGCCACCCACTCTGAGGGTGTTTGATTTTCCACTGGTGGAATTGGGCCCCTGAACTATAAGGCCCTCCCAGGTTTAAAATTCTGTGTGCCCAATGAAGTTATATATTTCAGAAAAGACATAATGCAAGAAGCAGACGTAAAATATCCTCTAGTAGTGAGTTCCAGCCACTTAACATTTGGATTGATACAAAGGGGATGCTAGACCAAAGATGAAAATTATTATAATGGTTTTCTAAAATGGCCAAATCTACTTTTTAATGGAGGAGAAATAGTCTCCTCAAAAGCCAAAAACAAATAAGAGGCCCAGTTTTTTGACTCCCAAAGCATCTTCAGGATTTTATGTGTACCTAATCTAATTTTTTCTTCCACTTAATGAAGATAACTATTCGTATTTCTGATATAACTGAGAGAGCATGTCACAGTGTGGTACCTATGTTAATAATGGCATTGATAAAAATGTGAATGAAAAATGTTGAAAATCACAGAAACTTTACAAAGCTTTCATGCAAGTTAGGTAAGACAAGTCTTGTTTACTCTTTGAATGTCTGAAGGTCACCAGTTTTGAAGAACACACAGGAATAAGCTCCTGTGAGATGCACTGAAGCCCAAATGTTTCCCAGTGTACCTGTGAGCGGCATGGTGTCTGGATTCCCAGCAGGAAATGGGTGTAGAGCAGAGGGTAAGCCTCCAGGATGACTGGATGATAGAGGAAGATAGGGTGTTTCCACATGGCTTTCATTCTTCACAGTGTCACTGGAAACAGTGCTCCCTTTATTACGGTTGGCCAGAAAGCAAGAACTCGGAGAAGCAGTGAAGGCAGCTTTACTTGCATCTGGAAAGATTTTTTTTTCTTAACTGCAAAGCTAACGTCATTCTCATATTCCTAGTATATAAGCCCAAGAAAAGGAAACTGAAAACGCTTTAGGGTCATGTCATAAATCTGGAAACTCCGGGGAAATATGTGCCATGGGAAACAAGGCTGGCAGATCTCTGGTCTTGGCAGTGGTGCTGGATTTTTGCTGTTGTTGCTACCTGTACCTTTGTGAGTGTGAGGCGTGTTCTGAAGGGCGCCAACCACCACCCCGCCCCCGCCCCGGGAGTGGACAGTCGTCAAAATGCAAGTCATCACATCCCAAATGGACATGCTCTCTTCCTTCTTTAAGCTCCCATAGAACTTCTTTCTACACCATTTATAAGGTGTGTACCACAGGTGTTGTCTTTAATTCTGATTATTTTTTTTATTTTAATCACCTAGCTACCTCAATTGATTTCATATCCTTTAGAACTTCCAGTAAATTCCTCTGACTACTCTAAGTGTAAATGGTGGAGAGAAAAAATAGTGCTTCAATGGTGTTAATATACTGTGTTAGTGGTAACACGCCTGGGGAAAAAACTCTGAGACTGTTATAGCCCCACACAACATGTGCTTACAAATTCTCGAACTTGGGTTTAAATACAGAAATACGTAAAACAAAGTATACATTTTAAATTACCTGAATTCTTCATATACTTGTCCAATAAATTCTGTAACTCCTGCTCTTTGTCATTATTGAACTGGGTCTCCATGGCAAGGAGAATGTATTCATCAAGAAGCATTCGGATCAAATGGAAAGAACCTTGTTTGTGGATGGGAAGAGGGAGAGGACAATGTGAGATGAAAGGAGGGAGAGAAGGAGAAGGAAAGAGAAAGAGAGAAGTCGAGTTATCTTTGTGACCATCTCACAACACTTTACAAGGAGCAACTGAAATAAACAAATACTTGTTGGACTTTAAATGACCTGCTAAGACCAACATGCTTAACTTGGGTCTCTAATCTTTCTGTGTACCGCCTGCCCAGCTCACTGTGTATACTGTCCTGCCAGCTCTTTGGCCGCTAATTACATCAAAGGAAAATACGGATGAAAGTGAGACATGCTTTATGCTTTAAGAGGGCACACATTGGAGTGTGATAAGCTTTAACCTGAGGAGAATGAGCTCTACTCTGCTGTATTTCTGTTGACTTTGTACTAAATAATTAGACAATGGCCACCATGGGTCTGAAAAATGTATCAAGTAAGATGTCTTTCTAGCCTGAAACAAAGTTCCCTTTGGTTTCAAAAAACCAAGAGAGTTATTTTCATTTGGAAGTTGTCTTGGAAAACCTTAAACTTCTTTGAAGAGATTTCCCAACAAAAGTCTGTTTTCATAATAAAGTCAGGCTTCAGTGTGGTATGTTTTAAGAAACCTCACACAAAACCAAGATATTTCAAATAATAGGCTCAATACATTTTGTTCATCCTTCAATACAAGTTCACTGATTTTATCTAATTCCACTGAGGATTAAATAAAAACAACTTAGTAAACTGTAACCTATTTTATAATGTAAAGATTTCTTGGAAAGCTAAATGCAGGAGTACTGTCCACAAGACAGCATTATAGCTGCAAACTAAGAATCCCAGAAATTTTAGAAAAAGGAAGATATTCAATTTTTAAAAGAGCTAAGTTGACTCAGTTTGTTTCACAAGTCAAATCAATCAGGAAAGAGGTTTCAGAAACATATGAAAGCATGTCTTCTCAGCTGCTCTTTGACTGCAGCTATGCAGTTCCTGAAAAAGATGCAAAAATTTGCCATATTGCAGTTGGTGCCTTTGGAAAATCATGTACTAATTACTGTTTACTTGCCTGTCTAACAAAAAAAAAATTATCCAAGCACTGATGGGATGTAATGATAATAGCTCCCATTCTAGAAGTGTTCACCGGGTACTAGACTGTGTTTTTATATATATTGTCTCACTAAAGTGCCAATACAACCCAGCAAGAGGGATATTCATCCTCTTCGATCAACTTGGAGCGGGGGGTAAAAACCCAAGCCAGAGAGAAGCAGTGTTAGGATTTAACTCTGCATGCGGTCTGACTCCAAAACCCAGGCTCCTACCTACCATTCTCTATGGCTCGACAGTCAGGTTTGAGCAGTAACAGTGCGACACGTTTAAAAACTGATAGGAAATGTGACTGGAAAGTGAATTATGTATTCAGATAGGAAGAGCTTTATAAAGCACTTAGGATACCAAAACTGGATGCATTGTTCAAGGTGAGGTTATGCATTACTCGAGCACCAAAAAAACTCCACTTGAGCAGAAAGTCTTGAGCCCTCTTCTTTAATGATCTTCCATTTTGTTTGCTGGTCTACAAGTAAAGGAACAAAATGAAACTATAAAATCTGTCATCTCATTACTACATGCATCCTGCATAAAATCAAGAGGTTGATAAGCTGTCTGACAAATGGACAGATGGCATGACACGCAATTTATTTTGTCAGATATAATGATCTTTCCAGGGATTTTAATTTTAGTCTGTCTTTGCTGTGATTTTTAAGGTTGACAGATCTTTATTCTGTATGGTTTTGTTACCTAGCAGAATCAGACAACACAATGAAATAATTTACAAAATACTTCATCTCTTCATTTTCCTTTGACAGAACTTTAAAAAGAACAGAAGGTGAAGTGTGAAAGAAGGGCTATATATTTCTGTGAATGATTAACTCTGACTTCTCTGGTCCTGAATGATAATCTGTTTTCCTTCCAGGAGGAAAAGAAAAGTCCCTACAATATAACCAGTTTCCTTGATACAGAATGGCTAACACCAACTAGTGATGGATCTATTTGCTCTTATATTGCCTTGTTTCATGATGGATTGACTTGCAGGTTAACTGAAAGAGTTGAAAAAACACAGAAAATACAAAATACTGCACTCCCAGAATTTAAAAATGCAAATACTTAAAACCACATTTTCTGTCAGCATTTATGAAAATTTGCTTTTTAGAGAAGGGTCAGATCTTTTCAGCTTAAAAAAATTTTTTTTTAATGTTTACTTATTTTTGAGAGACAGAAAGTGTGAGCAGGGGAGGGGCAGAGAGAGAGAGGGAGACAGAGAATCCAAAGCAGGCTCCAGGTTCAGAGAGGTCAGCACAGAGCCTGATGCGGGGCTCGCTGTGGGGCTCGATGCGGGGCTCGATGTGGGGCTCGAACTCATGAGCGGTGAGATCATGACCTGAGCCAAAGTTGGACACTTAACCGACTGAGTCACCCAGGCGCCCCAGATCTTTTCGGCTTTTATCTTTCACCACCTATGTTACTCAGCTGTAACTGTACTGACTGACAGGGAATGCATAGTGTCTTGTAGTTCTTTGTCAAGAAATGATGAATAGAATTGAATCTATGCCCAACACTCTCAAATCTGGTCTATTCCGAATTTTGATATTTGGGCCACCTTATTTGCAAGTCTTCAAGAGCTTTTCAAGGCATTTTTACACACAGACTATCACCCCTCCCCCACCATTCAAGGAATTACCAGTTTAGCATTTACTACTAAGAAAAATTTTATTTTCTGAATCTGTCATTGAAAAATACCTTAATAACTCTCTGCTCTACCACGGTATCCAACCATTCAATAAAAGCCTCCACGGTGGCATTCTTCTTAAGAAGATCTTTCAGTTCTTGGAACACTGTGATAGAATCATCTAAAATGAAAAAAGAAAGCAGAATATTACTCTACTTTGAACTCAAGAGAAAACCTAAAACTACGAATCATTTAAGAATTTTGTAGCATAAAAGGGAAAGACAGAATAAATTAAATGTGTTAAAGAAATTATTTCATATCCTGAGAACAAGGAGACAAAAATCCTTAGTTTTTACTCTTCAACATTTTAATAATAAGTGTATGTATTTTGGCACATATTGAAATATAGGCTTATGTATTATATAAGCATGTATATACTGGGGAAGAGTAAGTTGTCAGTATAGTTGATTATTCATTCTGAGTCCAAAGCTTTCATTAAATGCAACAGCTTCATTGAAAGCTGATGAATGAAATAAGCTAAACTTGTTGATTTCCTGCTTTCTGAACTACTTTTATCTTTAGCCAAAATTAAATTCTGCACTGTGGAACTGAGCCACCTACATGAATAATCTTTCATCTTATAAAAGTTAAAGAGGCCATTTAGAACTACTGTTTATTAAAGAATTTGAAGTTTACTGAACCCCAAAGGGTAATACAATTTTATACTAGGAAACAGAAAGCAGGGCTGATGTTGGACCACCCCAGAGAGCAGCCTATCACTTGTGCAACAGCCTATCGGAGGCTACACTTTGTCTTTTTGGAGAGAGAGGATGGGGAAATAGTGGATTGCTGTCCCTTGAAAATAGAACCTGGTAGTCTAGTCACACATATTAGTTTGCTAACTCTGTCAGATTGTCCAAACCTGCGCAGGTAATTTCTGCTTTGAAAAACAGTATTATATTGAGACATCATTTTGATATGCATCATATACCATATGATGCTAAGAGTGTAAAACACACAGAAATGTGTATGCATATAAAGTTGGAAGAGAGCTCACAACACTCAAAAACATGTTCATTATTGCCAAGTTATTTCTTTTTTTCTTTCGTTTATTTTTTACTTTTTTGGTTATTTCTTTTAAAATTTTTTTTTAATGTTTGTTTATTAGAGACAGACAAAGAGAGAGAGAGAGAGAGAGAGAGAGAGAGAGTATAGAGAGACAGAAAAAGAGGGAGAGAGACAATCCCAAGCAGGCTCCACACTGTCAGCACAGAGCCTGATGTGGAGCTCAAACTCACGAACCAGGCGATCATGACCTGAGCCGAAACCAAGATGTCACTTGTGCCAAGGAGTTGACAGACCCAGCTCTAAACAGGAAGAAGACTTACGTTCAGTGTAGATATCTGATTCAGTGTCTGTGCTGCCAGAAATGGTGAGAAGGGCCTGCGATCCAATACTATTCAAGTCAACCTTTTCAATATCAGATACCATAGAATTCACAACATGCTGGTCGAAGAGAGCTGGTCTGGCAATCTGCATAAAGAAAGTAAAAAAGACACTAAACTATATTATCAAGAGTCTATCTAAAGAAAAGTTTTGGCTTCTAGAGAAAAAGTTCCTTGAGACAAAAGTATCACAAATGCTTTATTTTAAAACTAAAAGCAATAGCTGAGACTCATGATCATCTCTGTTAAAGCTTTAAAAACTATTTTTGGAACTAGAAAATGAATTTTTTAATTCACAGTCATACAAGAAGGATTTTACAATGTTATGCTTCTTATCTGGAACTAGCCCAATCAAGTCTTTTAAAATTTAGGGGGCTAAAAACTTCCACAAAGCAAACAATCATTTGAGAGGAGGGGAAATATATTTTTTAACAATATACAAACCTGTAATCCTAATTTAAGAATTACTTTTTTCTTCCTATTTAAGAGATCCAAATTAGTAGTTTAAAATGTGTTGTTTGTGGGTTTCACATCAAATATTACATGGGCTCATTCCCCACAACCTTAATTTTTATTAACTGGATTCATAATGCAAAGAACTACTTTGCATTTTACATTGCACTCAGAAATTTTGTATTTTTTTACTTTTTATTTTGAAAATATTAAATTTACAGAAAAGGAGGAAAGATAGTGCAGAATATTTCCATATTCTCCCTATCCCCCTTCTCCTATTGTTATCACCTTATCTAACCATTGTTTATTGCCCAAATCAGGAAATTAACATTGGTATAACACTGGTAGATAGACTACAGACATAATTCAAATTTCCATCAGTTTTCCCACTAATGTCCTTTTTCTATTCTAGCATTCACTCTGGGGTCTCACATTACATTTAACTGTCTACTTAGTCTTCAATCTCTGAAAATTTCTTGCTCTTTGCTACCAGAGGGTTTTTTTTTTTTTAATCTGGTGACTCAAATACCAACATACCTGAGCAAGGTGTAAGAAAGATGTTTGCCGTTTCAGAGAAGATACAAATCTTCGCACGATAGGTATCTTCTTGTCAGTTAGAGCTTCTGGCAAGTTTTCCAAAGATGAAACAACCCACTGTTCCCAATTTTTAGCAAAATTTCTTATATCTGCTAATAAGCTACACACACAAAAAGACTTATGTATTAAATGCTAAATTGTTCAAAATGCATTAAATAAATGTAGTTTAATGGAGGTATGCTATTATTCTGCGATTCCAAGAACAGGACTTTGAAGTCTGATGGATTCAGCCTAGGTCTGCCATTTATCACCTTGGTCAAAATACTCAATGTCCTCAAGTTCTGGCTTCATCTATTAAATGGGAACACGATTAGTATCTATGTCACAGGATTATTACTAGGACTACATAAAATAACTCATGGAGATTTCTCTGGTCAAATGTGGCATGCAGAGAGTAATCAATAAATAATACCTTATTGTTAATATTAACTCATGGTTCAGTCATTTTTGATAAAATATTTCTGGGTAAATGTAAGTATGTACTTGATTTTGCATATATTGACTTCTTGAGAGATACTGCATAGGGATCATAATGTCATTTCAGGTACTTACTATTAGTGTCTAGTAATATATTTTTACAATCCAAATATGACTGTGGGATAGTGGGATACATGATCAAAAATGTACTATAGAACCCTATATAGAAACTTGCAAATGTTGGTTGTGTGTGTGCACAAACATTTATACAGAAACACAAAAATTTTAAAATCAGTCAATAATCTACACATTCTACCGCAACAAAAAAGATCTAAATTTATATTTGGGATGCAATGTGACATAATTTGGCAAGCAGTGACATAATACAGGAAAAAGAATAGAAAATGGAGTTAAACATATGCTCAATTAAAATCCTGACTCTGTTTTTTTAACTAGTTAACTTACTTTAGGCAAATAAATTAACTTCTTTCTGCTGCCAGGTTCCTCATTTGTGGATTTGGGATTGTAACAGCTACTGGGGAATAGTCTAACAAGTTGTGTTTTTTAAAAAATCCACTGTTCAATGATAAGAAATTGGTTAAATGAAGTATAGTATTTTTCAGACGCTATGCAGCCATTTAAAAAGAAAATGTTGAGAGGTGCCTGGGTGGCTCAGTTGGTTAAGCGTCCAACTCCTGATTTCAGCTGAGGTCAGGATCTTGCAGTTAGGAGATCAAGCCCAGCACCGGGCTCTGTGCTGGGCATGGAGCCTGCCTAAGATGCTCTCTCTCCTACTCCTTCTGCCCCTCCCCTGCTCACACTCAATCTCTCTCTCTCATGGTTTTTTTGTTTGTTTGTTTGTTTTTTTACTTGAGAAAGAGAGACAGAGTGTGAGTGTGGGAGGGGCAGAGACAGAGGGAGACACAGAATCCAAAGCAGGCTCCAGGCTCCCAGCTGTCAGCACAGAGCCTGACGTGGGGCTTGAACTCAGACTGTGAGATCATGACCTGAACCAAAGCTGATGCTTAACTGACTGAGCCACAGGCGCCCTGCTCTCTCTCTCTCTCTCTCTAACAAAGAAAGAAATAAAAAGAAAGAGAGAAAGAAAGAAATAAAGAAAGAAAGAAAGAAAGAAAGAAAGAAAGAAAGAATTGAAAAGAAAGAAAGAAAGAAAGAAAGAAAGAAAGAAAGAAAGAAAAAATTGAAAAAAAGAAAAATTTAAAAAATAATGTTGATCCATATCTGTTGATATGAAAGATTTTCACTATATACTGCAATTATAGTATGTATACTATGGTTCCATTTTATTAATGTGTATATTTACAGGTATTCTTAGAAAAAAAAACAGTCCATTAATGTGGAGAGATCAGGAGTATTTTTTAATGCATTTATGCATGTTTTCGTTTTCTACAATAAACTACTTGCATATTTAAGAGATAAATATTCTGCTTCAGGCAGTTGTAAAATTAAGTAAAATAATTTATGTAGTCTCAAAGCCCATGTTGTAGTAATAAAGGTCAGCTATTATTACTATTAACTAATAATGCCTGCCCCTAAGTAAGCACAACCATTCTGTTGTGACACAGAAATGTTAAGTGTACTTAATTCAGAGATCAGATTAGATGTTTAAAGATAACATATTGATAATTAAAAGAAACTATTGGTGTGTACAATACTATTATATAAATAAATAAAACGATCTACAGGAAAAAGTAAATCAAAAATAAACTTTGTTTTGTCAATCATCATGTATTTATTGAGCATCAACTATGTCCATCCTACGTGTATTTGTGCCTCAAATACTAAAATAAATTTCATTTTTTCATTAGACTTTATTTACAAAGAAAAATTTTCGTTTTTATTTTTGAGTTTTTATTGTTCACACATCAGAAAGTTTTTGTGAAAAATCTTCAGGTACCATTTCAATTTCAGATTTTTTTTTTATTGAAGTATAATCGACAAACAACATTATATTAGTTCCATGTGTACAACATAGTGATTTGACATTTGTGTACATTGTGAGCTCATCACCACCATAGTCCAGTTACCATCTGTCATCAGTTACCAGAGGGGATGCAGGTCCTGGTGGGCAATATGGATGAAAGGGATCAAAAGGTATAATGTTCCCAGGATGGGGAATACAGTCTATTTAAGATCTTATTCCTTTGTTAAAAGAAGATGGTAATTCCATTATGCCACTTTATGATTTTGCAGTTAAGGCCAATAATAATAAATAATAATGTTAATAAGTAATCTTTAATAACAAAGATAAAATAATTTTTCTTATAATTTTTATTATTGTGGTTTATTTTCCATCAATTATCCCCATTTATCTTCCTGTAGCCAGTTTCTATTGAAGAACTTCTCAGTATTTCAAAGGTCAGTACACTTAAATATTTATTTTTCACTTGGACATCTCTCATATTAAAAGGATTTCAAGATTATTCTATCAATTTTGCTCAGTGAGGTTTGAGTATAAGGATTGAGGCACATCTTCTAACTAATACAAAGGGACAGGAGCGGGAAAGTAATCTTTATAAACAAACGGATTGTTATTTAATGTTTTCCTTTAATATAATGGATAGGGTTAAATTCTACATTAAGAAACTACCACATTTTATTGACTGAACCTACCTTTCAGGCATTTCTTGCATTGTTGCAGGAATGAGTACATCTGTAAGAACCTTAATCACAGCAAAAGAGAATTAACATAAATCCTTACTTAGTATTTTTGTAGAAAGACACTTATTTGTCAATTACTTTTCATTCCTAGCTTTCTAGAGAATAATATGCTAACTCATTTCTGGAAGTTATACTTTTATCTCTAAAATGAATGTATGTGTGAGGTGCATGTGTAAGAAAGGTGAGGGGTGGGGATCTAGAAACATTACAATCCTAGGTTAGCCTAGGAACACTAATATCCTGGGTCCAGAGAGTTAATTATCAGAACACAAAGAATAATGAAAAGATGGTCAACATCACTCATCATCAGAGAAATACAAGTCAAAACCACAATGAGATACCACTTACACATGTCAGAATGGCTAAAGTTAACAACTTAGGAAACAAAAGATGTTGGCAGAGATGTGGGCAAAGAGGAACACGTCTGCACTGCTGATGGGATGCAAACTGTGCAGCCACTCTGGAAAACAGTATGGAGGCTCCTCCGAAAGTTAACAATAGAACTACCCTATGACCCAGCAATCACACTACTGGGTATTTATCCAAAGGACACAAAAATGCTGATTTGAAGGGGCACATGCACCCCAATGTTTATAGCAGCACTATCAACAATAGCCAAATTATGGAAAGAGCCCAAATGTCCATTGACTGATGACTGGATAAAAAAAGATGTGATATGTATCTATATACAGTGGATTATTACTCAGTGATCAAAAAAAAAAAAATGGAATCTTGCCATCTGCAATGACGTGGATGGAACTAGAGTGTATTCTGCTAAGCAAAGTAAGTCAGTCAGAAAAAGACAAATACCATATGATTTCACTCATATGTGGAATTTAAGAACCACAACAGATGAACATAGGAGAAGGGAAGGAAAAATAAGATAAAAACAGAGAGGGAGGCAAACCATAAGAGACTCTTAAATATGGAGAACAAACTGAGGGTTGCTGGAGGGGTGGTGGATGGGGGAGATGGGCTAAATGGGTGATAGGCATTAAGAAGGGCACTTGTTGGGATGAGCACTGGGTGTTCTATGTAAGTGACGAATCACTGGGTTCTACTCCTGAAACCAATACTACAATGTATGTTAACTACCTTGAATTTAAATTAAAAATTAAAAAGAAAAGAATACTGAAAGAAAGGGCTAGACTGAGCCCTAAACATCGATGAGGTGGGTAGGACCTGAGAATTAGTAGAAAGAAGAATTTAGAGTGTTGACTGATCCCAGCTCAAGAAAAACTAGAATAAAGAAAGAGGGGACAAAATAGGATATGAGCAATGCAGATCCATTAAGCTGACTGATAAACTGAGTGGTCCAGCCTGAGGAAAAGGACCAAGAGGAGAAGATATTTCAAAATGTGGGTAAACCCTAATCTTCAAAGGCCTATGTAGCCTACCAGAAAAATGTACATGTATTCCATGTGTATAAGACAGTATTGTATATGCCCAGTATGTTAGTTACCAAGAATTGGACTTGGTAATCATGTACTGTTTTATGGACTAAAAGTTGACCACTCTCCTGAGAGGAATGAAGATCTTCCATAAACTCATTCTGCAATGAGAATTGTAAATTGCTCTATTTACAATGCTTACTGTGTCTCCCTGGGTCCACTATGAGGAGAAAAAACTTAATTCATTTAGAGGTACTTAAACTCAGGACTTTTGTGTTGAACTGAAAAAAAAAAACAAAAACAAAAACAAAAACAAAAACCAGACCATTTGTAAAGAAAAAAGAAAGAATATGCTTTAAGAATATTTCTTGGGGCACCTGGGTGGCTCAGTCGGTTAAGCAACCAACTTCAGCTCAGGTCATGATCTCAACAGTTTGTGGGTTCAAGCCCCACGTCGGGCTCTGTGCTGACAGCTTGGGGCCTGGAGCCTGCTTCTGATTCTGTGTCTCCCTCTCTCTCTGCCCCTCCCCTGCTCACACTCTGTCTCTCTCTGTCTCTCAAAAATTAATAAATGTAAAAGAAAAAAATTTTTAAAGGAGTATTTCTTGGAGGTACTGAATGGTGTTCCAAAGAGCTTTACTTTGATGGTGGTAAATGTGTATGCATGAGACCTGGGGGCTTTTCTTATACCCTCTCTTGGAGCCACCTTATTTCCCTTTTCTGCTTACTTCTTCAAGTCTTAAACATTGCAATCAGTTACTGCAAACTAAACCTTTTCCCTCTAAATAATGATACTCAAATGCAACCCAGAAAAATGAGACAATCCTCACTCTCCTTTGTCCCTCTTCAACGTGAATTTGAACTAAAGGCAGAGAATGTACTGCACTTGCTCCATCCTCTTATCCTGTGATAGGGAGAACTTAACAGAGGATGAAAATATGGGCTTTCCCATTCCGGCTCAAGACTACCTACCAGTTCTTGGTGTGCAAAGTTGTTTCCAGTCTGAGTTCATCTAGCTTCTGCTGAGAACCTAATAGTAGCAACCAATTTAGGACGATTTATTTTCTAAATGCTTAACAGGGTTCTAGTTTGGGTTTTCTTGCAAACTCAGATTATGTTTTAAAAGGAAAGGTTTTGTTTTCCTTCTGACAATTGAACAGGTAAGTGCAGACAAACTCACTTTAAAGTACCCAGATTGCAACACAGTTTTCTCCCTCAGCCTCGACCTTGCTGTTGCTCTAACTAAGGAACTGACTGTCAGGGAATTAGATTCTCCCTCTTCCCAGATAAATGTTTGGCTAGAAGGCCAACCAGTTCATCTTTGTTTGTAATGTCTTCATGATCTTTCTGTAGACATCTGAATACTCTTATTTGGTTTTAGAACAGAAATGAACATTAATACATTAAACCTAGAGATTTCCAATATTTTTAAGTTGTTAATCCCATAAGAGTGTTTAACTCTGCTTTTCCCCCAGAAACAGATGGTAAAAAAGCCATCATATTATTCACTCTGAAAACACCTTAAACAGGTAATAAAAATTAACAAAATTTAATGTATTAGTGAGTATGTCATATTTTGAATCATTAACTGTAAACAGATTGATTTTATTTCAATGTAAATTTAACCATAACACATACACAATTAAATACTGGTTTCTCATCAGAAAAAAATAATACTGTCTCTCCAGCCAGAAATAACAAATGTATTGAACATACAATGCAAAAATTTAGATAGAATACTTATAAAGAAAACATGCGGTTTGTGTTTAAGACACCCCAAAGAGCTTACCTTATAAAGAATTGAGTCACAAACACAGAAAATGTCAATGATAACAGGGTTTTCAAGCAGGGGAAGAAGATGATCAGGCATTCCTTGCCAAAAGTGTAATAAGAAATGCTGGATCTAGTTATAAAGCAAAAAGTATAAACATTAAGATTCTTCCTTAACATGAACTCATAAAGAACAAGACAAGAAAGTATACACAATATGATCAGCAAAGCATTCTTTGTCGTCCTTACCTCTTCAAAGTTTCCATTAATTGCATTGTCCAGGATGCACTGGCAGTGAGTTTTATACATCATTATGAGGGTATCAACCTATTTCAAGGAAGAAAACGCTTAACCAAAGAATCCTTTCAATACTGCCTTCATTTGTTTATGCATTCGTTTGTCCAGCATGCATTTTTTAAGCTCCTATTATGGACCAGGCATTGTGCTCAATGTCAAGGAATCAAAAACAAACGTACAGTTCTTATTTCCAGGAACTTAATGCCTTGTGAAGGGAGAAAGGCAAGCAAATAGACAATTACCGTATAGTATCATAGGACAATGAAAAGCTGATTGAGCAAGGAGCTTTGGGCCAAAGCAACATTGTGTTTTTCTACCTAAGAAGAGAATTACCTCTGATTGCAGAAATACACACAAAATGGTAAAATACATCAAGTGTCCACACAGTGTTTTATTAAGTGGGTGGTGGGCAGTGTGGCATAGCGGTTTCCAGTTTGGGGTCTGGAATTGGTTAAACTGAGTGCCCAGTTCAACTGCACTACTTTGCACAGGTTGTTTTGTCTCTGAACCCTAAGCTTTTTCTCTTCAAGTAGGATAGTAATAACATATTACCCACATGGTATTAAAAAGATTAAATAAAATATCAGGCAGATAGAAGAGTGCCTGGTACACAGTAAGATCTCACTAAATATTACTCGAAATTAGTAATATCGAATGCCTCATAAATTTACCCAAAAAATATTTGAATAGTTAATGCCCATTCTGAAAAGTCTCTGCTTCCATGTTACCACAGATATTTGGATTGCATAGTTAAAACATGTTAAACGTATTCTAAAATCTGTAATGGATTAGAACTAGATAATATTTTAATAGATTAATAATAGTCAAATATCCGTATTTTACAAGCTAGAAATATCACTACCTGTTACTGGTTGTGTAGTCTGTGTGAACAAGAACATGGCTTAGAGGTTACAGGTGTGAGTTTTTACCTGGATTTGAATACTAGCTCTAACCTGCCACTTACTAGCTCTATGATGTCGAGCAAGCTACTTAACATTTGTGTGTTTTAAATTTCTCATTTGGAAAATAGAGATAATAACAGTACATTTCCAATAGGGTTGTTATGAGGACTAAACAAATGAACACATGCAAAGTGGTTGGAATAACCCATAATACATGCTGAGAGACTGACCATTAGATTTACTTTTATCCCAACAGTATCTAGGGTGGTGATGGCAATGGGGGTGTCCCACTGTAACCCTCCAGTCTCCAATATTTATCCCTACAGCCTAGTGACAGCACACATCTTTGTTATTCAGCTCAAAGCTGTAAAATGATGACATGCAAATTACCAATATCCCTGCAAGGAGGTATACTGACTACAGGACACCTCTAGCAGAGTATGTCACCATTAATGCAATTGAGACATGGTCCATATTTTAGTCAATGATATTACATCTTTAAATAGGTTTCCAGGACATATTTTTAAAAATAAGGATAAGGACAGTATGAAATACAGAAAGGAATTCACAACTGTTGTCAAAAATTAACCCTTTGAGGGGCGCCTGGGTGGCGCAGTCGGTTAAGCGTCCGACTTCAGCCAGGTCACGATCTCGCGGTCCGTGAGTTCGAGCCCCGCGT